CGTATCCGTAAGTGGGTACACCACCGGGCTGAGGGTAGCCGTAAGTGGGTGCACCACCGGGCTGAGGATAGCCGTAAGTGGGTGCACCACCGGGCTGAGGTGGATATTGAAAATCCGAATTATTATATTGGTAATTATTACCTTTCATTATTTGATATAATTGATATTTATATTCTCGCAATATAAAAAAAAAACTTTTTGGTAGTTTTACCCTATGTAAAAAAACTGTTCAAGAAGCTTCAGGCAAAGAGTGGAAAAAGGGACGGTTACTTTGAGCAGCTCATAGAGACAAATCATAACAAGCGATTTGTACTGCGGAACGCGTAGCCAAAAGACCACTGAACGTCTGAACTCAGAAAATATAAAGTGTAAAGGAGAATTCAATAAATACCGATGGCATGTTAGAACAAAGATGAGACTCTATGTTCATCTTTTTATAAAGTACCACACAAACACCAGTTCACACATAGTAATAGTGCATTATTCAATGAATATGGTTTAAATTTCTCCTTTTGTTTTGTGCCAGTACTTTAAGAAAGAAAATACGCACATCACCTAGCCTTATGAGCTCAATCTCCAGAAACACTTCTTGGTGAACAAGATTCCGTATTGTTGACACCATTGACTCTCAATGCTCTCCAACAAATGAAGCAGGGTCCACAACTGTGGGCACTGATCCCCCAAGTTTCATACTTCTCCTCGCTGTGTGCATTGCCAATTTATCAAGTCCCATCTCATCAAATCACAACATCCTCGTTCTGGCTTTACGAGTCTCTACAGCTGCACTTCGCTGACGTGGTCGCTTCTCTCCAAAAGGGGCATGCTGCGATATTTTCAAACTCGTGTTACAAGATTTCCCTCTATACAGGTACATGTCCCGGTCAAACTGTGACTGTGGGTCTTCTTTGTCAGTGATATTTTTTCCTTTTGCAATATCAACGTCACCACCGATGAAGTCTTGCGCATTTTTATCTTTTTTACTGTGGATATTATTAATTGCATCTACCAGCTCACATCCATTTGCAGTACTAACGCATGCCTTTGAAAGAACAGTCTCAAAACCGGAAATGATCCCGGTCACTCGCGCTGTGTAAAGCCGTCTCCTAATACCTCGACAAAACGAGACGCCCTCCTCATAGAAGCCCACCGTGTCGTGTCCTACCAAAACCCCCAGCAAGGCGTACGCATCACGCAAACTACGCGTAGAAAGCAAGGGGAAAGCAAATATTGGCTTATTGGCACTTGTAGCTAGAACACCTTCTCTGACCCTACTATTGGGGGGGAAAGCTGTAGATGTGTAGAGTTTGGCAGCTGTGTCTGCTGTTTCCCTCGTAAAACCCTCAGTCCCTGGCATTGTCGCAAAGTTAGCCTTGTCCAGCAACCCATTTAGTGTTCCACCGTGACTCGTCAACAGCTTCCATGACTTTACCTGGCCAAAATACTCGTGCAGGCGACGATACAGAGATCCCAGCTCAATGGAGAGCTTTCTGATATTTGAGCAGTGGTCACAGACAATGTGAAGTTTATCATACTGAATTTTGGACTTTTTGCTATAGGATGGTCCACTGGTAAGCGCATTCGTCACACATTGGCAGCGTGAGCTGGTACAGCATTCTGACAACAAATCTGAATACGGCAACCACATCGCAACTCGCCCTTCCGATGGAAGCTTAATGAGTGAGTTGATTTCGTCAAAGAAAGAATCAAGTGCGATATTGGGTGCATCTCTTGCAGCTTCGTTTTTCATGTGATTAGCTCCCTTTCCAAATATGGTAACACTTTTTTGCATGTTTGTTTGATTCCGTGAACCTGTCGCAGCCTCAAGACACCACCTGATGTCGATCAACAAGGCTTGGTGAGGCTGCACAATCGAGGAGAGCTCCAGCACAGCTGCAGCAACTTTTGACTTTGTCGCAGTTCCTTGCTTCCGGGCTCTGCCATAATAACACTCCCAATTCTGAATGAAAAGGGGATTTCCGAAAGAAATGCGTAGCAGCGCGGCATACCGCAAGGGGGAGTGTCGTCGTGCTTCGAGTCCCTGCTGCCAAGTCATGAAGAGAGCTAGGTCAGGAATGGTTCGCGGCACCAGAGACGCCATCACCACCACCTCCACTCCCATAGATGTTTCATGTGGGCATTCATACCAATTATTTGAGTGGGCACCGCTTCGTTTGCGTGCGTGACCAAAAAAAGTCCGGTTAAGCCAAAGAGCGAGCATTTGCGCGTCCCGAAGTGCTTGGTGAAGACAAAATTCAGCTGCAGTGCAGCATTGATGTACCGCTTCCCGTTTCAACTTGCGACGATGCTTTAATAATGAATATTCGGACATTTTTCCTTTCTTGGAAACCTCCGAACACGTGCCGAGATTTTGCGACCTGCGTACCGAGCCAAGGGCATCAGACAACGGGCTTACACTCACCACAAGAGCTATGACATGAAGCTCACGCCGTGTGACGGTCTCTACAACGAATGCACACGCAGCGCACTTGAGCTTATCTAAGCGCTCTACGTCATTTAGAATACTGTTGGGGTATTCAATGGTCTCCATAATTAATATCAGGTCTATGGTATTACTTGTTTAACTTTGACCATAGGTAAAGAACTCGTATTAAGTTAGAAAGAACCAAAAGCCAATATTAGATACGCATTCAAAAAAGATAAAAGAAGACAAAGAACATTCATCATCTTCTAACTTGCACTGTTTTCAGACAAATATGAAATTTACTGCTCGCTCACAGGTACATCAAGTAAATAGCAGAAAAAAAAGGGGCCGCCCTTATTAATCTATCCAGAGCTACTCCTTAAAAAATATAGTATAAACCCCCTTGCATGACATCAACAGTGTAAATGTGGCGGATTCACCACATCAATGTCATGAAGTAATAACAAAATTTTCATAAGGTTAGCAGTGCTATACTGGAAAATCAATTCGACCTCAACATAGAGTGCCAGAGGGGACACATTGTTATTCTATATCAAATAACTTTCCATACTCACCTCAGAATGCAAACAACAAATCTAGACCAAATCATTTTACACTATATCTGCTTCACTGATACCAAACCTTTAGGAATAATATTTTGCCCCCAGAGGTGGCCGGCCACTGCCTGTTTCCAGGTGAAGAAATCTTAGTCTTCTTTTGGTACATTCCCTGTCCTGTTGTGGTCGCTGTGATTTTTTTTCTTCTTCATGAAACTGCAACACTCTGTGAAGCATCTGCCGTGCATGTCGTGCCGTCTCTTCACATTTTTTTACCTCATCAGCCTCTGCATCGGCGCGGGAATTTCTTTCATCTTGACAAGCATTCACCACTAAGTTCACTACACGGGCATGAGTGTCATCGTACTGTTTTCTTTTCCCTTCCAAAAGGGACAATACAATAGAATGTGAACTCGGATTTTCCGTCTCGAAATTCGTCGTTTGCTCTACGACTAGCTCCTTCACAGAATACGAGTCCGTAACAGAATTAGTGGAAAGCTTATCTACATTACAGATCCCTTGTGCTCGATCATGAAAATGGGTATTCACCTTCCTTAATAACTTTGTAAGCAGATGCCTCCCAAGTTGCACGTAGTCGACTATCCCTTCTAAAAGTAACTGCCTAGACCATCGACGTATTCGCACAGATGGTGTCATTTTAATCACAGAACTACTTTCAGGATTGCTCTCAAGCACACCATTTTCTGGTGCGTTGTAGTTTGTTTTCCTCCATTGCTGCACGATACGCTGATGAATCATCGTTGAATGAAGCACTCGATTAGTGAGCTCTTGCTGAACGCGATCATGAAATGCATCGTCGAAACCAATACCGTCAGTGCGTTGAAAAGGGCAATGTGTGCGGTCATATATTGCAAGTCGCGGATACCCTGGCAATTCTGCAAGGGCCTCTTGCAACATCTTTCCCCGTTCTCGATAGTCCATTTGTTGAAACGGGGACGCATCCTCGAGCTTTACTTCACTATTCATATTTTCTGCACAAATTGAGGCAGTACCAAGGCGAAAAATGTCATCGACGGTGTTTTTAAAATGGTCGAAATCAGTCTCGACGTGCGCACCGCTCCTGCTATCCATCACGACTTCGTTACACGGGGTACTTGTAGGTGCATTAACTAGTTCTGTCTTTTCAGCTTCCATTGTCTGGAGAAAGATATGATTTAACTGAAGCTGCACAGGCATACGCAGCTGATCTGACTCATTGACTGTGTCGCTTGAAGAGTGCATGTAATGCTGCAAACCATGAGCAGTAGCCACAGGAACCTTGGATGCCATTCCGATGACACATCCCTCGGGAGCCCCTGAGGAGGACCCATCAGAAATTTCCTCATCGTACCGCTCATTGTCGTTGCTGTTTTCAGTTTTAATGTATACACTATCAGCTTCGTTTTCATTAGGCCTCTGAAACGCATGAGAAGATAATTGAGAGTTTGCTGGTGTCGCAGGCAAGGAACTCGGTATAGGTGACAAGAGAGAAAAATTGTGGGATGCATCCATTTTCCCATATCTCGGGTGATACTGTTGTTGAGTTGTCCTCGAAAATTCTAGTCGACGTGAGCTTAACTGAGCCTTAACGCCTGGAGGTGAGTGTTGTGTACGAGATGTATCATCAAGTTGGCACAAGCTTTCACCGCTCTGATGTGAATCGCTGCAAACTGCAACAGGTGTTGAGAATGGCACATCATCAGATTTTTTACACTCTTCGATTCCTACACCTACATCAACCGCAGCGGAACCGATAAGTGTTAGATTGTCAATGCTGCTTTTCTCTCTCATAGTATATTCTTTACCATTGTCATGTCCTACAAGTATGTCCAAATCGCGCTGACGCTTGAGACACTCATGGTTATGAGTTCTGCTACTAACCACTTCATTTTTATCGATGTTCAAGTGATTATGAGGGAATTTTGGTGCGATATACCTTCTTCGCTCCATCTCTGTAACTAATGAAATTCTATGATATCGATCCAATATATATATATATTTATTTATATATTAATGGTCGCTATTATTTGTGGGGAGAAAGAGAAGGAAACTTTAAAAGAGCTTTACATTTATTAGTACTGACTGAAAATTGCGTGCCATTAGTATGGAAAACTGAAGATAGTTGTGTGCGTCCTTATCATTGTTCGGACTTTGTTTGAGTCGTATTTTGGTGAAAATATAGATCCTCAGTGAATTTAACCAAAATACAAAGTAATCAAAGGGTATTGCACCATAGTAAGAAATGTTTAAAATTTTATATATACGATCTCGAAAAATATAATGAATGTCATATTTAAAGGGTTCAAACATTTCAAGGAATTCCACTAATACTGTATAATCGAAATCCCAACTTTTGTCAATTAGTCACACTGAATTCATTCTTCTTCACCATTGAAGATAAATTAACAGGCTCTGCGCGTTTGATTCTCTTCATCATGTTTAAGTAAATCCATATCATGAGAAAAATGATTAAAAGATGGGAAAGAGGGCGTTGAATCACCCCCTATAAACTCTATTTTGTGGGTTTACATACGATCATCTTCCTCATTGATCTGCGCACACCTTCCTTTCCCTGATTGACTGCATATTCTTTAGTCACTTATTCCGTTCTCGTTTCGAATTTGTATCCAAACACGTCCTATTTGAACTTTCCTCTTTTGCTACTAGATTTCGGAGTTTCTTTAGTAGTAAAGTCCTTGTTACTTCCTGTTGATATTCAAACACGCTTTCCTGAAGATTAGCTGCAAATTCGCTCATGTCCAAATTAAGCTTAGTCAAGATAATCTGGTACATAAACAAGTATTGCTCAATACGCTGTACCATGTAATAGCGAGCGCAACGCATCGACATAACCGTCTGATACAACGTCTCATTTTCAAAGCGTCCATTCCGTATCGCCTGAAGAATCGCATAGGTGCCAATAAAAGTGCCAGTACGACCCACACCCGCGCTACAATGCACGAGGACAGGCGCGGTGTCCTGGTACGCGTCCACAATTTTAAACAGTTCGCAAAGCGCAACCGCGGAACTCGGCACACCAAGGTCGGGCCAACCGGTGTACTGAATATGTAACAATGGCATCACCGCCCCACCACTTTGCGGTTGAATGAGTAAGGGCCGATAAATCAAATCAAGTCGCTTATCGGCATAATACGGCTCCTCAGGGTTCAGAGATACCTTCATGTCCCTGAAAAACAAGCTGCTACATGTTGAGTTTAACCCTTCAGTATTATCTACATGGTTGTCGTCAAAAAGGGCGGCGTTATTCTCGCTTACCCAATACTGATCAGCCTTCTCAATTTCATCCTCAACTGTTTTAGTAAGCATGATGACTAGTTGTATCTTATATTTATAAAGGGTAGCAAGAAAGTCAGAAATACCCGATGCGATAGGTGCCTGTGAAGCGACAAAGAGGGGAGAGTTTTCCAAGTCAATAAGGTTACCGTTGATATAGAGAAATCTATCAGTCCCTGAATGACTCATGGACTTTGCTAAGTCCTTCTTTGATTCTACTGGCATGCCAGCAGCAGGAAGACTCATACTTGTCAAGATACGAAGTGTACGCTTAAGGATGGCCGACGTGCTCAAATTTCCAATAGATTCATCATCACCTAAAAAGGAATAAAAAGCTTCACTTCCACTCTCTATTACCTCTTTCGGAATTCTATTCCTATGAGTTTTCAATTTTTTGTAAAAAGACTTTTCCATCTTAGTACCTGGTATCGGCGGGAAGAGAGTCTTTTCAATTGCCATTATATTTATATATCGGTTAAGGTGTAACCCTCGGCCTTTCGATGTTGTAAAGTTATATTGGCTTCTACAAAGAGTAGATTCAAGATTCTGGAACTCCTTATGAAGCAAACGAAACTGAGTATTAAGGGGTAGCATATGACGATCAAATTTGGTATTTCGAGCAACATAGCAACTGCTTCCATCTTTTTGCTTCGTGGGAATGGGGTTCGCCATGATCAAAATTATGTTTTTTTGACGGTTTTAGTCGTATATCTGATATGGTTTCTGACGCAGTAGCGTTCTATAAAAAGAATTAAACAATTACTTTTTATGCACAACTGACGAAAAAATAAGTGAGGCCGTGGAGTCACTTTTGTTCCAGGGTCTACTTCTGTGCTTGCCTTAATATAACCTTATTGTGTATAAATGACGCACTAATTCAAAAAACAAATGGTGTAAATAACCAATTATCCAATAACATGTATAGTACTTAACTTAAAAACACTGTGAATTAGTTCACAGGATGAAAATCTGGATCTTATCGAATTTAAAAAGAACAGATAAAAAAGTGAAGAGGATCCAGAACAATAAATAAGCATAAAAATGATCCATATAATATATATTTACTCTAAGTATAAAAAATCAATATAATATATTAAATCTTTATTAGACCTACGATTCGTTTAAACACCATATTGCCTTTATTATATTGGTCATTAAGACACATTATATGTTTTGCTGTTTTTTTTTACAGAGTCATCATTCACATGTACACTTAGACTAACTCCTTGGACACTAGTTATCGATTTAGATATTTCATCTTTAGATTTTATTTATGAACACTTTAGCTTTGGTATTCAAACAGTTGAAAATGTTACCATTATGCAGAAAACGATTCACATGACTCTACTCGCGGTTCAAGGCCAAGTCGCAACTCCAGTCCAGGAAGATCTTCATGGCCCACTAGAAGCTGTATTTTGGTGCGGGCCCGCAGAGCCACTGAAAAGAAGACTCCATTCGGCGCATCTGGACAATTTATTTCAAGAAGTACCGTCCCCAAAGGCATTTCCTCCAGAAACTCACGCAGCACTACATCCTCTACATCTTTAAAGAGGAGTTCCTTCAACTTCCCGCCGCGGTATATCATGCTCTTAACAAAATCAAGCGATACTTTTACCAACCTCGGAGAGGCTGACATTAATTTTGCAAACAGCGGTGCGGCTTCGCTCGCAATACGCCAACCCTTATCCAGTGTCTCGAAGCTGAAAACTCGCAAACCGGCAGACACAACAATCAATGAATCCGTTTTGTAGGAAAGAACACGACGCGCGGTCTGGGAAACAATACTGCAGGTGGAACTCGTTGTGGCTCGTGCTTCACACTCACCTTGAGGAGTACGCATAATCAATAAATCTTCTGGAAAGCTATTGACTTTATAAAAATTTACCAGGGTGTCATGAATCACTTCAGGCGGCTGTACAAATTGTGGTGGAATTCTTTTTTCCGCTTTTAACACTAAACCAGAGGACGAAGCGGCCTCCTCTTCACCATTCTCACCACATTTTCCTTTTGAGGAGTGTTGTCTCACAGGAAGCGTGACAGGCGCCGTTGTGGGACCTTTCACGTCAGGCGCCGTTGTGGGACCTTTCACGTCAGGCTCCGTAGCTGGTTTCATTTTCTTACCGGTATCCTCCATCTCCTCCGAGAGACTCGGCGAATCCCTCTCCTCCACATCCCTTATCTTAGTAATACTAAACTCTTTCACCTTGTCTAGCACCGCGATAAAAAAGCCACCGCCATTACAGTTCGTTGGAAGGAATCGCATGCATAAACTCAAATCCATCGCCTCCACAGCGGCGGAATGATAACCACCGGGGGTGTGGGGTGGGAAAAGAGCGGCGTGCATTGTCGGGCTTGGGCGATCCACCACGTTGCCTTTGACGTCCACCACCACCCAACTAGACAGCCCAGGTAAACAGGATAAACCCGGAAGCTGCGAGCGGGCATCAACAAGCCTCATCGAACCGTTCGTTCGGTAGATAATATGCGCCACCACCGCCTCATTTTCGATAGGGTTTAAGGAGCACGTGCTGTAAACCAAACGGCCACCCACCTTGAGTAAATGACAGCCTCGCAGGGCAATACGGATTTGAATGAGCTGCAGACTCATGGCCTCGCGTGGGGACCAAATTTTGAAGATATGCGGCGCCTTCCTCAACGTTCCATCCCCTGAGCACACCACATCACATAAAACCTTATCGAAGCGCAGGATGCTCCCTCCCCCACTCGCTTCTTGTGGTGGGGAACTCGTTCGCGCGTTCATCCGATTACGAGGGTTCGCCTCTAAAATAATATCAGGGAAATATCGGGCATCGTGATTTGTAAAAAGCGCGAAGGGGAACAAAAGTTGCATGCGCTTGACTTGATGGACCAGCATATTCGCACGTTTAGTGTCGAGTTCATTCGCTACGATAAGGCCTTCAGTGGCGTAATTAAAAGGAAAAGGCGATGAAGTGGCGTCTGCACTCCACGGCACGAACTTATGCCGGCCCATGGCAACCAGCATCTGCGCCGTTTTAGACCCTGGTGAGGCACACATGTCTAGGCAAACATCGTTTGGCTGGATATTGAGCAGAAAAGGAGGGATCATGGAAACCTCCTCCTGACGTGAGATCATACCAAGGGCAGTTTGGCGAATCATGTATCGCCGCAGCGCTTGCATATCCGGCCGCTTGCGCAACGCCTCTTTGTCTGCCAACACACGCCACGCCATATTCGGGATCGGGTACCATGGGATGGGCTCCACCATGGCGGGATCAAGAGACTTCAAGTAATCCCGAACCTCGCACGCAAGTGGATCCGTGTCGTTGATCCAGAAAGTAATCGGCAATGGGGTTCGGAACAATCGCATTTCCTCATCCCAACGTTCCAGCGTTGTCGATGAGGCCTCGCCCTCTTCTCTTTTGACATCATGACCAGATGGACTAATGACATGACCGGTAGAACCTGAGGAATCGGCGGTAGTTTGGTGAAGACTGTCTTGATGATGCAAACTATGTGTCTCAAATGGTGTAGACCTGAACTCCCCTAATCTTTGCAGCTTCCCATAGTAATTTTCAAATAGCGCGTTACGGATCTGTCGCATTTGTGCATGATGTTGAGCACCCGTCCCGTCAGCATGCATGTCAGGCTTCGTGATACGCATCTCGCGGCGATGCTTGCCGAAGCTCTTCAGCTTTTTTTCTTTAGTAGATGCCGGCATTTATTCCCCTGAGTACGTCTGTCTATTCTAATAAATAAGTTAATAAAATTGAATAAAGGTCTTTAAGCTGAAATGCACGATCAACAGAATGGCTGTATAAAATATGCAAGCCATGCAAGTTCAAAAAAAATGCTTAGAACTCTACTCATTTACGTCATTTAAGACGAAAAGTTACTGAATACAGGTCGCATACTTCTGCACTATTCTTAAAAGAGTACATATTTACATCTAAAGTTGAACCGTGAGAGCAGTAAATATCGCTACGAAATCCTTTTCACGGTATGCTTTTCTGCTTACACATCTAAGAGTAAAAAAATCGATCTTTCGTTGCTTAAAAAGAACGATATACAGCCAGGATGTCCTAGTCAAAGACGATCCCCGATTATTTAAGTCAATGCGTATATTGGTGATTCCGCACATCCTGGACGTGCTTCAGTGTATACATATTTATTCCTAGCTGCTTAGGCCCCTGCAACTTCGCTCCCACCTTCCAATATTTTTGGACGATCAGGTGGACCAGATTGAAACACCAGGAAGTGCCGCTTATCAATCCGTAAGTTGACTAACGTCTCCGCGTCACTGGTAACATTACCTCCAAAGTGCGCCCCCACAATGGCGTGCCACGTGCCGCCGTACTTCTCCTCCAGCTTCCGCTTCAACTCGGTCGCGATTTCCTTATCGCTGAAGCTCTTCGTCTCGCCAACCGCCTCCCACGCGACGGAAGCGTTGGGCGAAGTGTTATGCGCCATCAACTGCTTTGGCACCGCGGCAGCGACGGCGACCGTGTACACAGCCTCATGAGCCATCTCCACAATCTCCTCTGTCATCACGGGGTTCGTGTCGTGCTCGTTCAACACCACACAACCCCTGTCGGGCCGCTCCTGCTGGACTGTCGTCGGTTGCTGCCGCACCTCCTCTGCATCGATATCATCATCCATGATGTAGTTCCACCTCGGACTCTTCACCTATAAACCTACGGCTCCCCCTTGCTAAGTCGGAAAAGGGTTGTAAATAAACAACAAAGAAAACAGGAGAGAATAAGTATGTCTATCCAAGTGAGTAACAGATAAGTTAAAGAAAACTCAAAACACATAAATAAGATATTATTGAATCATTACTCAATCAAAAAAAAAGGAATAAACGCCAACAAACCCGTACGTCGTGTCACTTTAGAAAAATGGGAAAGAAATACTCACGCGATGCATACAACAGTCATAGCAGATCTTGGTTTGGTATAAAACAGTAGGTATCGTCAGCATAACCTATCACGTAACGAAGTTGCTGTGTTGAAATCATCCTGGATCGCGGAGCCAAAAACAAACAAATAAACAAACACAATCGTAGTAAATAAAAAAAAAGAGGAAGCAAAGAGCTCCACACACGCATACACTCACCAAATCGCACAGGATGCGCTGTACGCGACGCGCCTGGTCGGATTTTGACCACCTTCGTATACTCTTCGCTGCGCATGAATCACTCCCAGCATAATCACAACAGTGAGCATAAGAAAGTGGGATTAAAGCAGCGTCCTTGCTGGAGCTATCATACAACATTCGCTCAATTTCCGTATATCTCCCAAGAACCCATCTACTACGCCTCCCTTTAGTTCAACCCAACCACATAACCTTCCATATCCAACAGTTGTGCCGTTGAGGAATTTAGTGTTGAGCAACTTTCTACACACCCCTACCAACCTCAACTAAGCTCAGGAGAGGCAAGTATATCGTGATGAGTGCATAATCATGCGGTGCTTATCGAAACCCAATCTTTACACTCGCTTTTCATGATATTGATGTTTCCTTTCTTATTCTTGAAATTCATGTAAAAGAAATAAAAGAATTATATGAATCAATGGATTTCATCTGCTGTCTTCTTTTTCATATATACATATATATATATACCATCAAATATGCACTTACAGAGAAGAAGCCCTCAACAAAAAGATGGATTCAGGCAAAACCTTTACTTTTCCCATTACAATATATTTGTTATTTTCACCTGAGATGGGAGTCAAAAAATGATTGACCCATCACTGGTGCGATAAATTCACGCCATTCTAGACATCAACGCACTTCCCCTACTTACCCCTATCTACATGCAAGTCACAACTGTTGCAATCAAGCCCTCTCTTGTGAAAGCTCGCCATTGATAAATTCATCCCAAATACAATATTGCCAACATTATTTTGAGAACCCTCGATTCTCTTATTATGAAAATGCTAATCCTTGCAATAATACCTACTCTTAAACTAGTTTCCTCTTAATGATGATAGACTTGAGAGCATGGAATTGGGTGAAGATCGCCAGCATCATTATTGCCAATGTGAGCAAAGACGCGATCCACACCCTTGTAAAGGTACTCTCCGAGGTTACACGCATGCGGTCCTCTCGGTTCAGTGAATAAATCATGTTCCGTTCCACAATATCCAACTCTTCGTTGATCGTCTGAACGCGCCATTGCAGCTCCTCCAGGTACTCCTTGGGCCGCAAGATGGCTTTGAGCTCACCCCCAAGGTCGCGAAACGAAAATACATTCAACCCGTCGATCGTTTCTCGATCACGGCCTTTCATCTTCTTCTTCGGCGAGGGTGACTCCACCACTGAGGTGTACGACTGATCCACGTCAAACGAAACGGCAATCTCCGAGTGCGTACCGATTTTTTTGTAATCCCACGGCGATCTAATCGCCGCACAAAGCAAGTAAGCCCCGGGTTGGGCACTAGGAGGGACTTGGATCGCAAAAATGTTCTCATCCGCCTTCATCTCCAACGTTTTGACCACCTGTGAGGATGGGGTGTACAGCGTGAGGCTAAGAGATACGGGAATGGAAGGGCGATCATGCCAATTATAACGTCCTGTTATGAAATTGGTATCACTTGTGATTTCTTCCACGAAGCATACCTCCGGTTCCTCGTCAAAGATAAACTTCAATCCATGGGCCGTCGAAACGTCAAACGCCACAGCAATGAAAAGTAAACTCAGCACCAGTCCAATATAAGGTCGCTGAAAAAGCATTGGTGTTTGGATTAATTTTTTGTAGTTTTCTCCTATTTTTCTCGTAATACTCTGTTTTCCAGATAGAATACTTTGTTTAATTCAAAATTAACGAGATGATAAAAATGTGCATGATTTAATAGAAACTTTTCGAATTGACTCATAAGTGGACGTTCTCAGAAACATTAATAGCAATAAGAAATTTGATTATGTTTGGTGTATCACAGAGATCTCAAAGTGTTTAAACAAAAAATCATTCGACAACATAAAAATAAGTAAAGCCATATTCAAAAATATGCATATTCCATTGATGCATATGTTTATAGAGGAAAGAATAAAAATCTATATAAACCTACTCATTTTGAATGAAATTGACACGAATTGCCGCTAGTTGAATATCGTAAATGAATATATATCGTTATTTATGTATAAAACAATGATAGGACACACAAACTTAATGTACGGTCCAAAGCTCGTAAATGTATACTTTTTAGGAAATAATTTTTCACTTTTAACGAAAAATACGTAAGGAAAAAACGAAATACAACTCATTAACTTTGATGTGGTTCGTGCATTGCTCAAATTTTTAGGAATTTTAAAATCGTCATAAGAAGCAATTTTAATTCACCAAAAGTTCCGTGGTATTTTTTTTTTAATGCACCATCTTAAAGTTGAGTTTCCATTTACACAGTTCATATAATTACTTCAAGCTCTTTTTAGGGTAGCTTACACGTAATCCTCCATAAAAGTCACTTAATAATGGGGATATAGTAAAATCCTTCAACACAGCAATCTGAAAACCCCAAACGCGTTTACAAGCACATCCATGTACATTTTGCTTGAAATCATCGACATCATAGATGAATATTTTTTCTGCTTTAAAATGCTTGGAATCATCTTGAGTTAGCCGTTTCGATGGGGTGATTAGTCGCTTCGATAACACCCTTTGAAAATTTAGCGAGACTGGTTTCGATACTGAAATTGAATCACTTGTTAAGTTTATCGATGACGTCAATGAGGAGGAACAAGGGAATGGAAATTTTTTACNCATAAGAAATCTCTTATGAGTTTTTTCCTTTAGCTTAATTAAACTTTAGCCTTTCAGAGGAGAATGTAATACAAATTAACACCTAATTTCACTAATATTGTGTGGCAGCAGATCAAAACCAGGATGAGATTAGACAAACAAAGAAATAGGAACACTAAGAAAAGTCAAATCCACAAAGCCTAAGTGAAATAAAAATCTAACAGCTTTCCATAAATACATTATATTAACAATTTTATTCTAAAAAAGAAGGGTTAATACAATCAATATGTTTAAGGTCTTTTCATTTACTTATACCCCCATTCTGAAACAGCACTTATTAATACCATAAATACACTTATACTTAAAATTTACTCGGTCTGCTTTACACGTGGTCTATCGCAGGATTTGCCTTTCCATACAGAGGTATGAAAGCAATGTGCATTACAATTTCTACTCTGGTGCGCATTTTACCGTGCTTAATTTTTTACAAACGATTACTTATTTCAAACTCATTGTCTGGCTAGCTTTGTAGGTAGGGCAGGGCGCTCGTCGTCGTCGCTTTCCTCAAATTTCTTATAATACGGATTTTCAGTGCCCTTGAAAGCCTGCGCACCATCACGCGCCCCAAGACCGAAATGATTGCCTCTTCCTCTTCCACCGGCGCCGCCTCGGGGATTAAATGACGGGGCCTCACCCGGCATCCGAAGCCTCGGGGAGTCCCGTCGCCCATTCCCGAAGTTCCCCATCATATTTCGATTGCGTTTGGGGGCACCATGGCGGTAGTTTTGCGCATCCGCCCACTCCTGGAGCCAAGGTTCCACCGTTTGTTGAGTTCGTTCGAGAATTTTAACGAGTTCTCGGATGGTGTCCGGGCCTATTTGCTGCTCATGTTTCGTAAGCATTGTGTAGGATGTGCCTTTGGCGCCGGCGCGGCCGGTGCGGCCGATGCGGTGGACGTAGTCATCAATTTGCATGGGAAAATCATAATTAACGACAACTTCGAGCTCTTTGATATCGAGCCCACGCGCCGCGACGTCGGTGGCGACCAGACAGAGCCTGTGATCGCGTCGGAAGCGCTCGAGGATGAATTCGCGTTGACGCTGCTCTTTATCCCCATGAATGGCCATCGCGTCGATCCCAATGCGTTTTAGCTGGTACTCGAGATAATCTGCGGTTTTCTTTGTCTTGCAGAACACAAGCACACGAGTATTTCGGTGCACCCCCATGAGCTTCTTCAGCTCTTCGAACTTGCCTGACTCCTGGGTGAGGATGAAATTCTGGGTGACGTCCTTGTTAGCCAGCAGCTCCGTACTACCGATTTGAATTCGAATCCAGTCCCGCTGAAAGCTCGACGCGAGCCGTTGAATTTCCTTCGGCCAGGTGGCCGAAAACATCAGCGTCTGACGATCCGGTCGAATCTGTGAGCAGATCGCCCGGACTTGGGGCTCGAAGCCCATATCCAACATGCGATCGGCCTCATCTAACACCAGGTAGGTCACCCGCAGCATGTTGACTCGTTTAATCTGGATAAAATCAATCAGGCGACCAGGGGTGGCGACAAGGATGTGGAGGCCCCTCCGAAGCATCCCAAGCTGAGGGCCTTTGGGGGAGCCGCCGTAAATACACCCACAGCTGAGGTGCTGGGGGAGGACTTTGGCGGTTTCTTGCTCGATTTGCTGCGCTAATTCGCGGGTCGGGGCGAGCACGACGCACATCGGGCCATCCCCAGGCCGTAGAGGCTCCTGCAGGGCGATGTGCGCGAGCGCGGGGACGATAAAGGCGAGGGTCTTTCCCGACCCCGTCTTTGCCACCCCCACGAGATCCCGCCCGGACAGAAGGACCGGCCAACACTGCGCCTGCACGGGCGTCGGGGCCTTAAAGCCCTGCGAGGAGAGTTTGGTGTGCAGGTAGGAGGGGACATTCTCGCCCGCGAGCATGCTGAACTCCGTCAAGGGCGCCGGACAGCTTCCGTTGTCCGCGAAGATGGTGATCCCATGCGCCTCACGCCAGGCTTGGGCTTCCTGCTCCGTTAACGCCCCGTCGCCGCCGTTTTTCCCATAGCTCCCTCCCCCCGAACCGTTCGTTTTGGACTTGGCGGCGGCAGCCCGTTTGATGGCATCCACATCCACCACTTTCCATTTCGCCGCGACGAGCGACTTCTTCGCCCAGTCCACAGGGGGCATCACCTTCCCGTCAAGCCCTCCCCCCCCATTCGCCATGCCAACGGCGGAGGAATGACGTCCAGGTCGGCCGTAGCCTGAAAATGGGTTATAACTTTGCTCTGTCATTTAATGAAAGCAAG